ATCTGGGACTTTATGTCCCTCGCGAGTTTCCGTAGCGCGATCGGTCTAAGTTTGGATTTTGAGGAAGTGCTCGACCAGCGGGCAAATCACAAAACATCAGCGAAGATCCTACGGTTATTTTAAACAGAACAGCGTACAGCGGTCGTACTGAAAATACACTATGGCATATCAACTCTACAGAAACACGACACTCGGGAACAGTCTACAGGAGAGTCTTGATGAACTTATTCAGGTAAGAGTGTTAAATCAAAGTGAAGTTATCTAGCTTGATTGCTAGCCAGCGCAGATAAATACAGATAACGACATAATAACGACTACTGCACATCTAGTCATCTACCTTCGGTGGTTTATTATATCATATCTTAGTGCCAAATCCTATGACTCATCGTGGTTAGTGATGTGTCGGTTTATTAAAGTTAAATGAGTGTTAGCTAACGACAGCTGTGTTTGCAATTGAGCTGCTCTTTATCAGAATAAGTTATTAATGAACTTATCTGCCCTAGTGAGGGACAAATTAACTGTTTTAGTGTTTCTTAGATGTTTACATTAATTTCTTTTCACATTACCGCAGATTTGGATCATAACAGTCATACCTGTCTGTGTTTCATAATAACAATCATGCAGGCAGATGTACATGCTTCTGTCTAATAATATTAACTCTGATTTAAGATGGACTTCCTGAATCAGTCCTCTCAAGACACCAGAAAACCTATTAGTGTTTAATCAAAATAAAAACACAGTGAAGCTTAACAGTGTGTTAAATTATTTGAATTGAATTCATTATCTTAGTAACGGAACACTTTCAACTGTATTTTCTGTCTTTCCACAGACTCAACAGATCACACCACAATTAGCCCTCCAAGTCCTTTTACAGTTTGATAAAGCTATCAACACAGCACTGGCCAACCGGGTCCGCAACAGGGTCAATTTTAGGGTAAGTTAATGCTCTACAATAACCTTAAGGTAGAAGTTAAAATTTTGTCTGCTTATGCCAGAGCTTACGCAGACATAGCTGTGACACACTAAAAATCACTGCTCTTTGTTTTATTCACAGGGGTCTCTGAACACATACAGATTCTGCGATAACGTCTGGACGTTTGTTTTAAATGACGTTGAGTTCCGGGAGGTGACGGATCTGGTCAAGGTGGACAAAGTAAAAATTGTAGCATGTGATGGCAAAAGTAAGACATTTGGTTCACTTTGCTGATGTTCTATATTTTCATACTTATAGTGTTGTGATGCAGTCCTCCTTATTAAACCCTTTCTCTGTTATAGACACTGGGTCTAATGCAGCTGATTGAAACCAAGGTGGAGAGAGAGTGTGAAAGAGAAGTGAACTGAATTTGCTGGCTGATGGGAAGGATGAAAAGAATTGAAGACGAGGCACACAGCGGTGGGGACTGTGTATATATTATTTATTGCAAGAAACAGTTCTCCAGCCTTCATACATCAACCTGCTCAGTGGAGGACTGACAAACGTATGGAGCACACAAGGCCTTGGATGTCACATGAAATTTTTCTTTTTATAAATAAATATAATTTTCATAGAAATGCCAATGCTTTTCAGTTTGTTACTAATTAGCTTATTCTCTAATAAACTTGTTTTAAATAGTTTTTGGCTTGTTTTGAAAAAAAAATGTTTTTTCCCATGGGCTTTTTCCTTAAGATGAACAGGATAATACAACATACGCACCGCTGAATGTGCACCAGCTGACTGGTCATGTCTTTAAATGTTTTTGCAGAGTTTAATTATTAGCTCTCACCTATAACCTTACATGTATCAAAACCATCAACTTAAGATGAACCGTGTAAAGTTCGCTCGCAATTCAGTGATTCTGAACATTAAATCAGGCAGGA